CTCCCCCCCCCCCCAACTACAAATCTTAATCTAACCTGCTTTTTAAAAACAATTCTTTATACACCTAGATAAATGTCTGTATTAGACCACCAAGCAGAATGGCGTGGGTCAAGCGGTCATCTCCGCTGACCACCTCAAAAAAAATCAACTCACGAGATGGACAAACAATCATGATTGCCGTGGACAAAAACAAATGGGAGATTGAAGCGAACTCAAATCTCTCACCACTCTTCGCTTCTTCAACGCTGGCTTCAACACTCTAGGGAAATAAGTCTAGGGGCAGGTCATCCATCAAGCCACTTAAAGAAGACAGTAAATGCATATAAATTTGACGGGATCAGCCCCACTGGACTGAGGGTGCTTGTATACGGACAGAGGGGGATAATCTAACTCACATTGAGCTTTAAATGTTAAGTGGTGACGGTAAAAACGGTCGGTTTTATTTTATTTAAAACATATTTCGTGTAATAGCTGGTGTTTGTGTTTTTTGTTAGATGCTGGTTGATGGAGTCCTATAGAGTGAAATAAAGGTCTTTCCTGCTAGCTATAAACGGTGATATAAGAGTTAGCATGTCGAAAATAGCTTTCTGACTATTTGGTCCTGGGCTAGTTTCTCCAACTGTCCCCAGTGGTAACCCATCTTTCTTGTGCTAGTTTCTCTAACTGTCCCTAGTGGTAACCCATCTTTTTTATGCTAGTTTCTCCAACTGTCCCCAGTGGTAACCCATCTTTCTTGTGCTAGTTTCTCCAACTGTCCCCAGTAGTAACCCATCTTTCTTGTGCTAGTTTCTCTAACTGTCCCCAGTGGTAACCCATCTTTCTTGTGCTAGTTTCTCTAACTGTCCCCAGTGGTAACCCATCTTTCTTGTGCTAGTTTCTCTAACTGTCCCCAGTGGTAACCCATCATTTTTTTGTGCTAGTTTTGTGGTAAACCATCTTTCTTGTGCTAGTTTCTCCATCGGTCCTCAATGATAACCCATATTTCTTGTGCTATATTCTCCAACTGTCCCCAGCGGTAATCCACCTTTCTTGTGCTTGTTTCTCCAACTGTCCCCAGTGGTAACCCATCTTTCTTGTGCTAGTGGTAACCCATCTTTCTTGTGCTAGTGGTAACTCATCTTTCTTGTGCTTGTTTCTCCAACTGTCCCCAGTGGTAACCCACCTTTCTTGTGCTTATTTCTCCAACTGTCCCCAGTGGTAACCCATCTTTCATGTGCTAGTGGTAACCCATCTTTCATGTGCTAGTGGTAACCCATCTTTCATGTGCTAGTGGTAACCCATCTTTCATGTGCTAGTGGTAACTCATCTTTCTTGTGCTTGTTTCTCCAACTGTCCCCAGTGGTAACCCACCTTTCTTGTGCTTATTTCTCCAACTGTCCCCAGTGGTAACCCATCTTTCATGTGCTAGTGGTAAACCATCTTTCATGTGCTAGTGGTAACCCATCTTTCATGTGCTAGTGGTAACCCATCTTTCATGTGCTAGTGGTAACCCATCTTTCATGTGCTAGTGGTAATTCATCTTTCTTGTGCTTGTTTCTCCAACTGTCCCCAGTGGTAACCCATCTTTCTTGTGCTAGTGGTAACCCATCTTTCATGTTCTAGTGGTAACCCATCTTTCATGTGCTAGTGGTAACTCATCTTTCTTGTGCTTGTTTCTCCAGTTGTCCCCAGTGGTAACCCATCTTTCATGTGCTAGTGGTAACCCATCTTTCTTGTGCTAGTGGTAACCCATCTTTCTTGTGCTAGTGGTAACTCATCTTTCTTGTGCTTGTTTCTCCAACTGTCCCCAGTGGTAACCCACCTTTCTTGTGCTTATTTCTCCAACTGTCCCCAGTGGTAACCCATCTTTCATGTGCTAGTGGTAACCCATCTTTCATGTGCTAGTGGTAACCCATCTTTCATGTGCTTGTTTCTCCAATGATCCCTATTGATAACTGATCTTATTTTGTTGCTCTCCAAGTAGCTTTTCTTTGTTTTCTTGGAATCCCTTCTTTCTTATTCGGCTCTGCTTTCTTTTGTACCTATTCGGCTTTCTTATTACATATTCTTCGCCCACGCCTTTGTAAGTCAGCCTGTTATGGTACAAAAAAAACGTACGCTGCTCGTCTGGTAAGTCCACTTGGCCATTAGAAAATTAACATGATGGCAAAATTTTACCAGTTCATTGACCACAGCTCTACAAAACCAGGTCCATTCCAATATGGACACTATGGCCAAAACCCATCAATTCGTTCCAAAACGGACACTGTGCTAACATAATAACAACCCGGAACTTCTAAAATGGACATCATTTCAAAATCGCTACCGAGCCTTTCCAAAATGGACGCATTGGTCAAAAACAACCAAGCATTTCCAAAATGGACAAAATGTCCACAGTTCTACAAAAAACCAGACCGATTCTCCATACACAAACCTGCCTCTAGCACCTTGCAAACAGTTCCAGATTTTTTTGTCCAGCTAGAAAGAAAGTAAAAAAAAAAATTCGGTCTACATCTAAGACTTTGCTTCTCCAACGTTTACAAACATAACCACACAGTAAAACATCAGAATTGATTTCCCCCCACCCTCCCCGCCCCACCCCTGGCCGGTTCCTGGTGGCCAGGGGGCAGTGGACGAAGAAAGAAAAAGTCAGAGAGAAAGAAATGAAATCTTCATCGTTTATGGCAGACGACGGCAACGGACATTCGGCGTCTGATTCAATTTCTGCCCCGCCACTCCCCCCCCCCACCCTCGTACTTAAGGAGGGTCCAGAATTTATTGAAAACTATACGGTTTAATCTGGCTTCTATTTTTGTTAGAATAAGGAAACTATACAGTTTAATCTGGCATATATTTTTGTTAAAATAAGAAAACTATGCAATTTAATCTGGCTTATAGTTTTGTTATAGTAAAAAAACTACATCGTTTAATCCGGCTTACATTTTTGTTAGCGTAAGGAAAACTATACAGTTTAATCCGCCTAATGCGATGGGTACTGCAAGGAAATATGTTTAAATATGTATATTAACGATGTATGAATAAATTTACTGACGCGCATGTTCTACCAATGTCAGTGTTTGGCCGTAGATGTGGATATACGCGAAGACCTGTTTTTATTTAATCAGAGGTGAGCTAACATCTTCAGGCATTTAGTGGGTGCCCTTACATGGTGCAGTGATTGAACTGTTGACTCCACATTTCAATACAAGCGTTGAGATCTAAATTCGTGTGTGATACAGGATAGTAGACGAGAATCAAAGTTTCGTTTAACCCATGCAACCCACCGCCACTGGACTGTTTGTAAGGATGGGCTAAACTTACACGATCGTTTATAATTGTGGTGTTAAACACACACCACACACACACACGCACACGTACATAAAAGCACACGAACGCGCGCAGATACACACACGCGCGTAAATACACACTTAGGCGCACACACATACACACTCAAGCATACGCACATATATATATATATATGTGTATATATATATATATATATATATATATATATATATATATATATATATATATATATATATATATATATATATATATATATATATATATATATCGGTGTGTATTTACACACATCCGTGTATATAAACCGGACTAGAAGATTCTAGAAATACATACATTACGTCGAGTATCAGATATAATAAGCAATCACATAAGCCCCCCCCCCCTCCTATTCCACCCAACCCTCCCCCCCCCCCCAGCCACCTCCCCCCGTGCCCCCAATTAACGACGACTAGATTCCTACAACTTTGTTCGTCTCCGCCTAAAAAGATTTTTGAAACATTGATCACACGGAGGATGAGGAAAGTGAATTTGGACGGAAATTTTTTTTTTCCAATTTTTTTTCTCCCCCACGAATATTTATGATTCTAAACTGAATGCTGCACATTTGTGCGTCGCGCGCGGTCGATGAGAGACCGTTAAAAGCGACTTTGTTAGTTAACAGAGCGAGATTTGTTATTTCTTCTTCTTCTTCTTCCATACCGATATGAATATCGTTTCATCTTCGGCGCTGTTGCTATCGTCTGCCGCTAAACGCCTCGGTGGTTACGTCTGCCGCCAAGGCGGGAAAGACAAAGACCGGAAGTGAAGAAATAATTATGTTGGATTGGATGTCATTCTGTACGAAAAAAATTAATATCCAAATTCTTTGAGGAGCGAATGATAAATAGCAAATATAAATTAAGAAATTGAATTTATTTTCCGGACAGAAATATAATGTACATTTCCCTCGTTCATCTAACGTATAAAAAAAATGAAAATCTATCATACAGCTATGGCCATTTATTTTACTCGGGCAGAAACGTATCTATTGATTTAATCTCTAGCTCTGATTGGCTGAGATTTAAACGATTGAGTGTGTTCTTGCTTAGGTTCTTTACACATGCATACATACACATGCATACATACACACACAATATATATATATATATATATATATATATATATATATATATATATATATATATATATATATATATATATATATATATATATATATATATATATTTATATGTATATTTATATGTATATATATATAGACCTATAAATGTATCTATATATATATATATATATATATATATATATATATATATATATATATATATATATATATATATATATATATGTATATATTTAGACTACAATATGCATATTTAAATACACTCACACAAAATGTGTTTACAAGTGTGTTTGCATATTTGTATGAATATGCACACAAACATACATCCATAATTACATTTATAGATAAATATATGTTTTACTTATAATGACTATAAAAAAATAAATATATATACATATATATGTATATATACATATATACATACATACATATATATATATATATATATATATATATATATATATATATATATATATATATATATATATATATATATATATTACTTTAGTATGTGTATGTGTGGTATTTGTATATTAAGGCTATATATTTAAAAAAATACCACGTTGAAACTTATCTTATACTTAATTCAAATCTTCCACAGATGCACATCATAGCGTACAACACCGAACTGTACAGAAACCTCAGTGAAGCAGCTAAGGGTGTTAAAGGATTAGCGATTATCGCAGTGTTCTTAGAGGTCAGTAACTCTTTAATCCCCTTATGCTGTTCAGGATTTAGATGTTTCGATGTAAACATGAAATCGTTTATCTGTTCAGGATTTAAATGTTTTTAGATGTGAACTCAGAATCGTTTATCTGTTCAGGATTTAGATGTTTTAGGTGTAAACACCGAATCGATTTTTACTTGTCTCAATCATAGACTTGCTCAAAGTTTTATTTTACTTGTCTCAATCATAGACTTGCTCAAAGTTTTATTTTACTTGTCTCAATCATAGACTTGCTCAAAGTTTTATTTTACTTGTCTCAATCATAGACTTGCTCAAAGTTTTATTTTACTTGTCTCAATCATAGACTTGCTCAAAGTTTTATTTTACTTGTCTCAATCATAGACTTGCTCAAAGTTTTATTTTACTTGTCTCAATCATAGACTTGCTCAAAGTTTTATTTTACTTGTCTCAATCATAGACTTGCTCAAAGTTTTATTTTACTTGTCTCAATCATAGACTTGCTCAAAGTTTTATTTTACTTGTCTCAATCATAGACTTGCTCAAAGTTTTATTTTACTTGTCTCAATCATAGACTTGCTCAAAGTTTTATTTTACTTGTCTCAATCATAGACTTGCTCAAAGTTTTATTTTACTTGTCTCAATCATAGACTTGCTCAAAGTTTTATTTTACTTGTTTCAATCATAGACTTGCTCAAAGTTTTATTTTACTTGTCTCAATCATAGACTTGCTCAAAGTTTTATTTTACTTGTCTCAATCATAGACTTGCTCAAAGTTTTATTTTACTTGTCTCAATCATAGACTTGCTCAAAGTTTTATTTTACTTGTCTCAATCATAGACTTGCTCAAAGTTTTATTTTACTTGTCTCAATCATAGACTTGCTCAAAGTTTTATTTTACTTGTCTCAATCATAGACTTGCTCAAAGTTTTATTTTACTTGTCTCAATCATAGACTTGCTTAAAGTTTTATTTTACTTGTCTCAATCATAGACTTGCTCAAAGTTTTTTTTTACTTGTCTCAATCATAGACTTGCTCAAAGTTTTATTTTACTTGTCTCAATCATAGACTTGCTCAAAGTTTTATTTTACTTGTCTCAATCATAGACTTGCTCAAAGTTTTATTTTACTTGTCTCAATCATAGACTTGCTCAAAGTTTTATTTTACTTGTCTCAATCATAGACTTGCTCAAAGTTTTATTTTACTTGTCTCAATCATAGACTTGCTCAAAGTTTTATTTTACTTGTCTCAATCATAGACTTGCTCAAAGTTTTATTTTACTTGTCTCAATCATAGACTTGCTCAAAGTTTTATTTTACTTGTCTCAATCATAGACTTGCTCAAAGTTTTATTTTACTTGTCTCAATCATAGACTTGCTCAAAGTTTTATTTTACTTGTCTCAATCATAGACTTGCTCAAAGTTTTATTTTACTTGTCTCAATCATAGACTTGCTCAAAGTTTTATTTTACTTGTCTCAATCATAGACTTGCTCAAAGTTTTATTTTACTTGTCTCAATCATAGACTTGCTCAAAGTTTTATTTTACTTGTCTCAATCATAGACTTGCTCAAAGTTTTATTTTACTTGTCTCAATCATAGACTTGCTCAAAGTTTTATTTTACTTGTCTCAATCATAGACTTGCTCAAAGTTTTATTTTACTTGTCTCAATCATAGACTTGCTCAAAGTTTTATTTTACTTGTCTCAATCATAGACTTGCTCAAAGTTTTATTTTACTTGTCTCAATCATAGACTTGCTCAAAGTTTTATTTTACTTGTCTCAATCATAGACTTGCTCAAAGTTTTATTTTACTTGTCTCAATCATAGACTTGCTCAAAGTTTTATTTTACTTGTCTCAATCATAGACTTGCTCAAAGTTTTATTTTACTTGTCTCAATCATAGACTTGCTCAAAGTTTTATTTTACTTGTCTCAATCATAGACTTGCTCAAAGTTTTATTTTACTTGTCTCAATCATAGACTTGCTCAAAGTTTTATTTTACTTGTCTCAATCATAGACTTGCTCAAAGTTTTATTTTACTTGTCTCAATCATAGACTTGCTCAAAGTTTTATTTTACTTGTCTCAATCATAGACTTGCTCAAAGTTTTATTTTACTTGTCTCAATCATAGACTTGCTCAAAGTTTTATTTTACTTGTCTCAATCATAGACTTGCTCAAAGTTTTATTTTACTTGTCTCAATCATAGACTTGCTCAAAGTTTTATTTTACTTGTCTCAATCATAGACTTGCTCAAAGTTTTATTTTACTTGTCTCAATCATAGACTTGCTCAAAGTTTTATTTTACTTGTCTCAATCATAGACTTGCTCAAAGTTTTATTTTACTTGTCTCAATCATAGACTTGCTCAAAGTTTTATTTTACTTGTCTCAATCATAGACTTGCTCAAAGTTTTATTTTACTTGTCTCAATCATAGACTTGCTCAAAGTTTTATTTTACTTGTCTCAATCATAGACTTGCTCAAAGTTTTATTTTACTTGTCTCAATCATAGACTTGCTCAAAGTTTTATTTTACTTGTCTCAATCATAGACTTGCTCAAAGTTTTATTTTACTTGTCTCAATCATAGACTTGCTCAAAGTTTTATTTTACTTGTCTCAATCATAGACTTGCTCAAAGTTTTATTTTACTTGTCTCAATCATAGACTTGCTCAAAGTTTTATTTTACTTGTCTCAATCATAGACTTGCTCAAAGTTTTATTTTACTTGTCTCAATCATAGACTTGCTCAAAGTTTTATTTTACTTGTCTCAATCATAGACTTGCTCAAAGTTTTATTTTACTTGTCTCAATCATAGACTTGCTCAAAGTTTTATTTTACTTGTCTCAATCATAGACTTGCTCAAAGTTTTATTTTACTTGTCTCAATCATAGACTTGCTCAAAGTTTTATTTTACTTGTCTCAATCATAGACTTGCTCAAAGTTTTATTTTACTTGTCTCAATCATAGACTTGCTCAAAGTTTTATTTTACTTGTCTCAATCATAGACTTGCTCAAAGTTTTATTTTACTTGTCTCAATCATAGACTTGCTCAAAGTTTTATTTTACTTGTCTCAATCATAGACTTGCTCAAAGTTTTATTTTACTTGTCTCAATCATAGACTTGCTCAAAGTTTTATTTTACTTGTCTCAATCATAGACTTGCTCAAAGTTTTATTTTACTTGTCTCAATCATAGACTTGCTCAAAGTTTTATTTTACTTGTCTCAATCATAGACTTGCTCAAAGTTTTATTTTACTTGTCTCAATCATAGACTTGCTCAAAGTTTTATTTTACTTGTCTCAATCATAGACTTGCTCAAAGTTTTATTTTACTTGTCTCAATCATAGACTTGCTCAAAGTTTTATTTTACTTGTCTCAATCATAGACTTGCTCAAAGTTTTATTTTACTTGTCTCAATCATAGACTTGCTCAAAGTTTTATTTTACTTGTCTCAATCATAGACTTGCTCAAAGTTTTATTTTACTTGTCTCAATCATAGACTTGCTCAAAGTTTTATTTTACTTGTCTCAATCATAGACTTGCTCAAAGTTTTATTTTACTTGTCTCAATCATAGACTTGCTCAAAGTTTTATTTTACTTGTCTCAATCATAGACTTGCTCAAAGTTTTATTTTACTTGTCTCAATCATAGACTTGCTCAAAGTTTTATTTTACTTGTCTCAATCATAGACTTGCTCAAAGTTTTATTTTACTTGTCTCAATCATAGACTTGCTCAAAGTTTTATTTTACTTGTCTCAATCATAGACTTGCTCAAAGTTTTATTTTACTTGTCTCAATCATAGACTTGCTCAAAGTTTTATTTTACTTGTCTCAATCATAGACTTGCTCAAAGTTTTAAAACTGCGTTGTATGAGTTTGATTGTAAACTTGTTGATTCGGATGGTTAAGATTGTGACAGGGTGTGTGTGTGGGGGGGGGGGGTGAGGGATTTATCAGAGGACTTTTGTCAGTAAGTGACAGGAATAAGTTGGAGGCGGGTGGGCATGGGGAGCCGTCAGTTTGTTTTCGACACTTCGTGTTAGAAAGTACTAGTATGTGATAGTTTTGGTTGTATTAATAGAAGGATCATGTGGGGGGGGGGTATTTCCTTTATTAGACAAAGAAAAAAGTTCTTCATGAAGTAAGATAATGGTTGGGTTAAAGGGAACTCGCATTTCGACTCTGGGAAACTCAGATTTTGTCAGCTTAAGGAATTCAAATTTTGTTAGTCTGTGAGCTCGGAATTGATTCTGGGATCTCAGATTTGTCAGTCTGGGAACATATTTTGTCAATCTGAGAACTCAGATTTTCTAAGTCTGGGTACTCAGATTTGTCTGTCTGGGAACTCATATCTTCTCAGTCTGGGAACTCAGATTTTGTCAGTCTGGAAATAAATGATTTCTCTGGAAAAAAAAATGAATGAAAATGCGTGACGTCATATCTGTGAGCCGTCTGCATCACGAGCCACTTCCTGTGTATCTACTTCACACCAGTTCACACTGGATTAGCTGGTCGTCATAAAAACCGAGAGCGGAAGTGACGTCAGTATTTTAGTCATTTACACGTCACGCTAGGCCTGGGTGGGATAGAAGCAGACGAGATGGTGGCAGTTTGTGATGTAGACGTGTGTGGCAGTGTGTGTGTGTGTGGCTTGTATAGGGGGAGTGTTTGTGTGAGTAAATGTGTGTTTGTGTATGATAATATGACGTTCGGGAAATACAGAAAGCTAAATTATGAGGGGAAAATGTTGTTTTAGTAGTCGATGGGTGGATGGATTAGTGGTGAGAGTGGGTATGGTGGATTAGGAGAGGGATGAGGGGGGTCTTGTAAAGAGCTCACTCTGGGCTTGGAGGAAATGGGTTGAACTAAAACAGGGGTCATCGGCGTCCATGGAGAGGAGGGTCAGACCTGTTGCCCCCATCTTTTGCTGAGTGCTGGTCAGGAAGTTGTGATAGGTTAGTTGGAAGGAGTATCCTGTCTGGGTTAGGGTTAGGTTCGGAGTGTGGGAGGG